ACGCTCTTCCGATCTTAATAAATTCTTTTATCTAAAGATCTTTTTATTCAAATTTTCTAATTTCTAATCTACTTTATTCTGTTTTGTAATACTATTAAAAGTTTGCAAATTTTTATTTAGAATTTTGCCAAACTGGTTTCAGATCTTTAGATTTTTATATAGATATCTTTAATATTTTTTATTTTTAAAAGACATTGTAGATTTGTATTATCTAAACTAGTTTGTATTCTTTAAAGATTTAAATTAGATAAATTTGGTATTTATTTATCTATATCTGAATTTATTTAGATATCTATTTACTATTGGTATTCAGATAATCTAACAAATATTCAGATAATTATCTGGATATTAATAATAAAATAAATATTTGAATAAATTCAGATCTAGATATCCAATAAATATATAAATAAATAAACAGATAATAGATAGAAACTCTAACATTCTTTATATAATGATATAAATACTTTCAGAAACTTCTAGTATTTAAAAGTATTAGTATGATTTGAGTAACAGATTATAAATCTAACTCAATATAAAAGATTTGTTACTATAATATAAATATTTTTATTTAAAATATTACTATCATATAGGCATGAAATAATACTCATTTGTATATTAATTGATTGACCTGCATATTATTTCAAGTAAGCGTATAAATATTATTTCAAAATAAGAGCTGATTTTTTGAACTAGATATTTTTAAAATAATGTGCATGTTATCTTGCATAGTCTTGTATAGTAAAACCTGTACTAGTAAGTAGATACTACAGCAATCTAGCCATTAAAAAATTATAATCACATATTAGTATTAGAAATTTCTATTATAAATATTTGTACAAACAATTGTCTTTTTTTATTTATTGTTTTAACAAACAAAAAATTTTTTACCAATTTTCTCATGAAGCTATATCAGTATAATATAAATACTTTTTATTCAAGACTTCTATATTTAACACTTTTACTATATCATCATGGATATAACTACAATGATAATCAACAAATATTATACTTTTATTTTTAAAGAATCTATTCGGTCTAGCTCAAATAACACATAGAATATAAGTAGAGATCATCAAATCTCCTTTCATATTTGCATAAAGAACCATTGTTACTATGATGTTATGGGAAAATTTACTTTTTAGTTTTTTTTTTAATTTGAAAATCACAGTAGGTAGAAGTTTTCTCTAGCTACAGAATAACTCAAGACTACTATGAAACATAGCTTGTTATTTCCTATAGTTTTAATTGGCATCTTTTGAATACCTTCAAAATTAATTGTGGTATTTTGGAGCATGTCGGCATTTTGTCAAAAGAAAAAATAAATTTTTTTTTAATATTTATCATTTTTTCATACAAGGTTTTAAGAAAGTCTCTAATAACCAAAGGCATATTCTCAGGAAGCTTCTGAGCAAATTGTATTCTTACATGTTCTACCAATTTATAATATCTTTTAATTAGGTCTATTGTGCGATTTGTTGTGGTCTGATCCTGATAAGGATATTACTGGTTGGAGCGAAAATGATCGCGGCGTATCGTTCACATTTGGTCCTGACGTTGTCAGCCGGTTTTTACAAAAGCATGATATGGATTTGATATGTCGGGCGCATCAGGTGGTAGAAGATGGCTACGAATTTTTTGCCAAAAGACAGCTCGTTACTTTGTTCTCTGCACCGAACTACTGCGGTGAATTTGACAATGCTGGCGCGATGATGAGTGTAGACGAGACCCTTATGTGTTCGTTTCAGGTAATTTATAAAACCAAAATTTCAAATTTTGTGCTCCAAAAAGGTGAGTTATTAAGCTTATTAGTGTAAACTTTCACAATCAGATCCTCAAACCAGCGGAGAAGAAAAAATACTATGGCGGTGGTGGCATGCAAGGACGACAGATGAACAACAACAACAACGGCAATTCACAACGTAAAAAAAAGGGTAATAATAAGGAAATGGCCAAGGTCACTTAATTATTATGATTGGTTATTTATCAAAGATCAATTTTCGCTAGATTGAACAACAATCCATACTTGACTATTCGGAAAGGGTTAAATTTGATGTCTTCGAGTATCCATATATTCTTTTCCCGCCTATTTTTTCTTTATGTTTCTTTTTCAAACTTTAGACACCTTCTAGATCTTTTTCTTTTAGTATATACTTTTAAAGCATATATTTTTTTTTCTAA